CCCCAAAACCCCAAAACCCCAAAACCCCAAAACCCCGCATTTTAAAAATCTAATAATATATAAGAATAAAAATGAATAAAGATGACTTAATAATTAAATTTACTTTTTATTCGAGGTGGAGTGAGCCTAAACACAGATACCTCTCTCTCAAACTTAGCTGCATAAGATTCTATATCCATATTAATGGCCTTCTTTTAATAGACGATCAGAATATATTACAAGATTATGTTTTAATTGTAGAAAGTTAAATTACCGTTAATAAACTCGCTGAGCTAAATGTCATCAAATCTTTATTCTCATGATATACAAAAATCAAGGGACAAAACTTTTCTCAGATATCTTTTGTATTATCTCAATTTTCTAAGATCACAAGCTTTTATGTATTTAAAACTTTCATAAACTTTTCGCTAAAATGATAAAGACTTGATCTAGACTCATACAAAGATAAGGCTAAGTTTCTTTCAAACACCGGGCTCGATCCTTATTAAGGATGCTTTGATATTTTTGATTCTAATACACCTATTATTAATTTTATAAGTCAATCTGAATTATTTGCTTACCTACAAACTTTCCTTGTGGACTTTTTATAACTTTTGAAGAACCCTTGTTTGTATTCCTATTTCCTTCGCAATGCATGGTGTCCATGGCTCTATTCCTATTTACTCTCTTGGTTTTCTTCTTGCACATATTAAACATCTCTAAAAGCTTTAGGGTAATTATAACTGTTAAATTCAGTCAGAAGAACACAATGAGTAGTCCAATTGTAACATATCCTACAAGAGTGATGTTAGAGTTCTCTCTGTATTTCATGACTACTAGAGCAACTGTGAAGAATATCAGGAAGATTTCATTCACAACACTAAGCAAGTTATTTGAAGTTTTGGAGAAAGGCTGATACTTCAGTTGATATCTTAGGTTCCAATATAGTAGTATAAGCACACAGGCAAGTTGGCAAATTACTTTTTGGTGGAGAGTTGTAATTGTAGCAGCTAGGAGCATGCGTCTCATCAGAAAAGTGTAGTAATACAGTAAATGGTTTGGATTGGTTCGCTTGAATTCCAAGAATAGCATTCAGTGTCTTTCAAACTTGTCTGGATATGTCTGTATATCTTCAAAATAGCGAAGAGGGAATAAAAAGGAATATAGTCATACACTTCAAAGCATGATGAAGAGCATTATTGAGGTTATATAAGAAGTAATTTCTAGCCATCCATTGAATCCTCCAAATAGCATATTGATAAAAATAGATGTCGACAGTACCATTGATATTTCAACAATGAAGCGAGTGCATGACTCATATCTATAAGATTTCTCAAGTTTTATGATTAATTTCCAAAAACAGTTATCTTTACTCTCAGCTATTTTAGAGAGGAAATAAAGGAGAATTGCTCCTAAAATTATTGCAAGAATCATTAAGATTTTATCAAAAGAATTGAATAATATTTTTGAGCTGTTTAATCCAAATCCTGAAAATTCTGTATAATCTCGATCAGACTTGTAGTTTAACATTGCAAATACCCATTCAGATAGCATAGTTGTCAAAGGATCCTCAAGATTAGAATATTTCATAAACTTAAGAGCTGCTCTCAGATTTGAAGGAAAATTTATTTGAAGAAGATTAGCAAAGGATAATATTTGTATTGTATTAGTGAAGATCCACATTTGCTCCATTGAGTCTCCAGTAATAACACTGAGACCTACTGAAAGAGTAAAAGAAAGTATTAATGTAAATAAAGCCATTGATGAAGCTCCTTTAGCTGTCTCTGATGATGGTAGAACTTCAAACTTGTATTTGAATTCGAACTGGTTAGATATTGGAATTGAACTTGTGCCCACAAAAGCCTGCACTTCTGCAAAAGTGACAAGCAACTCTTCATTGGATCCTCCTATTATCGAAGGAGATACTGAATATTTAAGCGAAAGGATATTATCAGAAGTGTAAGATAACTTTGATGAGGTCTTGTATGAAAAGGCAGGTCCTACAAAAGCAAGTGATACTTCACTGCCTGTAAAGTTGTACTTCATCATTGTGTCATTAAAGGTAAACTTAATTTCAGATGTAAGATAATCAAGTTGGTTACTTGTGATTACAGGTGGAAAAGATGTGGATATTCATAAATCTCTACCTAAAGTAGCATTATACTCACAGTTATATGAGTTTTCGATTTGTCAGTTCTTATCACACCCATCAAAGTCCATTGAGTTCTTATCATCTCAAGTCTCCCCAGCGTCTTTGATCCCATTGCCTCACAATGGAGTTCACTTGCTCGGCATTTCAGTGTTATTACAATTAAAGCCTGTTTCTGGAGTACAGGCTTTGCTTCAACCATCACCATTGTATAGGTTTCCATCATCTCACAGTTCTCCAGTGTCAAGCACTTGGTCTCCTCAGCTTGGATATCAATAAGTTTTAGGGTTGGTGAAGTCTCACTTGTAGCCATTCTCAATGAATCAGCGTGAATTTCAGCCATCGCCATCTTGGCCATTGCCATCGTCTCACTGTTCGAGTGATTGCTTGACTCCATCGCCTCAAGACCTGATTCAAGTGGACTTACTCTGGGAGTCGAGTGAGCAGACATACCCAGCTTCAATTTTACAGTTGCTATTTCAGCCGTCACCATTGATGAGGTTTCCATCGTCTCATTCTAATGTTTGGGGTGTTTGAATGATTCCATCACCTCAAGTGTCAGAACAGAAATTGTAAACTTGGGAGAATCCTTGCTGGCAGTAGGAATTAGAGTTAGCATCTTGTTTGAGGCATATATTATTTGGAGACATAACTCGCTCTAAATATTGTTAAAATCTCAATTTTAGGAAAAAGGAAAATTTAGCAAACAATATTTCTATTAACTTAAATTTTTTCCACATAAAAATTATGAGTTATTATAAGTTTTCTAACATAGCTACCTCACACATCTGGTTGGTCTCCTACTGGAGCAGGATATGTTGCATATTCTTGCATAAAATTAAATTTGTTATCATCATTTTCTTTGTATAATGACCCTAAACCATTCCAAACATCAGGTCCGCTTTTAGTGTGTCTGTAAAACTTAGCCGTGCTAATAATCATCTTTTCGAAATTCATCACTAACTTGACTTCATCAATAGTAGGAAGGTTTAAGCTGCCAAAAGTAAGTTTAGATTCCTCTACATTTGGTGTATTATCACTGCTATGACGAAGATATTTACTTTTCACAGAATTCTCTAATCTGGTGCTATTGTTAGCAAACTCTCCAAAATAAATTATTGTAAAATTCTGGACCATTAAGTGGTAATCGTTCCTGCTATAAGAAGGGGAAATTGTGATTTGTGAATCAGACATCTGAAAAGCATTCGAAAGCCTATTTCCTGAATCATCTATGCAATTTAATAGAGTGTTACCTTGGAGTTCAATGCCATATTGACATCCAGCTTCATATCAAAATCCTTCTACTTCTACCATGAACTGGGATGTCTTTAGGTATGGGAGAAGAGAGGTTTCCAAGATAGTTGTTGGGCCAAATATCCAGCCAAGGCTTGTTGGAATAATTTTATTTGAGTTCTCGGAGCTTTCTGAGATGGTATAAGTAGTGTTATTTCCTGAAGGATCTGTTCCTACTCTATAAGAGAGAAATCATTGCTGTTGTTATGGTGCGACTAATAATCTTAAAGAGAACTCACACTTTCATTCTGTTGTCTTGGTAAAGATACTGAGAACTGCTTTGGAAATCAAAATTTACGATGTAGTTGGCTTTAAACTGTTCATTGGTGATATTTCGATGTTGGGCTCCGCCATTATTCAGTTCATTGTAGATAGATATTTTAGCGATTTCTCCCTTTAGGCGATAGTCAACTACACCTCCTTCCACCATATGCCCTATTGAAGCAAAATCTGGAGTGAAATAAAAAGTGTCTAAAGTTGTTATAGATTCCGTTATTAAAGAACCATCCTGGTCCCAAACTGTAAGGTTTAGATCTCCACCAGAAGGAAAGAATGAAGTAGAGCTTTGGGCCTTATATTGAAGAGAATAAAACTGCCATGCAAATAAGGATTGACTTCTGACCACTTTTCTGGACCACTTTTGAGTTGAATCACTCACAAGAGATCAGCCAAAGATGTAAGTTTTGGTTGTTGAGCTAGCATCAGCTCTTAAGCAGCAATTAGCATTTTCTGTCACTATAGTCCCAGAAATATTCCATTGTCCCTCTATTGGTAGGCAAAAGAGTACTAAAAGTAAACTTAAGGTCTTACCATAATCAAAATGTCGAGTATATGAATAAATCCAAACATTTACGGAATATTCATAAGTAGGAATTGTCTTTTGCTCTATCTGGCCATTAAATCGGATTCTGTAATCATTATTTGCTTTCAGAAACCCTAATTCTTTGTCCCATTGTGTTCTATCCGTCACTTCAATTTGCATTAATTCCTTAGTTAAAGCCTGGTATAGACTCATTATAAGATGTTTCTGCAAAATCAAACACTACTGGGTAGTTATCAGGATCTCAGAAGCCCAGGTTGTACATGATTATGAGGCAAGTTACTAATTTTATAAATTTCATTGTTTCAAGTAGTTTCAATTATTTTTATTTATTTCGGGGTTTTGGGGTTTTGGGGTTTTGGGG